TCCAATCACAAATATACTATAATCCATTATTAACATCACCCAATTCCCGCTTGCAAGCTTCTTTGTACCTGATACAAACATAACCATAAAGACAAAACTATCCTCACGAAACAGATTGCAGAGATGGAAACCTGGAAGCATCCACAAGAGCTGAGAATCGAACTGAGTTTCTGAAGTTCATATTTTGAGGGCAGAAGGCTGATATCAATTACTGGGAATGTCACTGGGACATCAACATCTGTTTCACAAGCCATTATAAGTTCTACTCTGAGAGATATTGCTCTTGGTGGGTTCGATTTTGATGAGTAAGAGTTGGTGAGAAGGTGCTTATTTATGCTTAGATCTTGCTTTTCGGTGGTTTGATTTTGTTGTAATATTAACATGGAAACTAACGAAATTTTTCTATTCAAATCGATGCGAAACCACCACAAAAATAAAAGAGAAACAATAAGCACATCAAATTCATATTTGCTTTGGATTACATGGCACACCTGATTTTGAGAACCCAAAAAATCCTTGCTCAAATTCGTGATACAATTTAACAATTTTGGTGAGAAAGAGTTGCTGAGGAGGAGCTTATCTGTACTTGTCTTGAATGATGATGGTAAAAGAACTTCAGACCGCCAAAAGAGACTATCTCTCACTCTCAATTTTCCACATGTCGAGGAACACAAGGGACCCGCCATCCATTAAAACTCTCCCTAATCTTTATTTCATTATCTTCGATTCATCAGTGCATGTGAAGAGACGTAAATGTTTTGTCAGTCGTTACAAGCTTTAATGAGAGAACTTTTTGTGGACAGACATTATCACCTTGCGTCTCATGTCATGCTTCTTAAGGTTCAGAACACAATCAGCAAATTGAGAGCTTGTCTACATCAATAGAAAATACATCAGCTACCGACATCTGGCAGTCGTGGGACGGGACAAAAATATATAATTTCAATATCTTCACGAGGTAAATTTTGGTGAACATCTAGCTCTCACTACCGGAGTGTCGTCTCATAAGTTTGTCTCACCACATAGTTTGATTATGAGTACTGATGGACAATACAGTTTTGAAAACAATTGTTCTGTTGCTATATTTCTTTCACTCTACTGAGATACCACAACATTACTGAGCTTCTTGTGTCCACATTTGCCACTCCTGATGCTTATTTAGGGCACTAAACTAGCACTCGGTTTCATGCCATGTACGCCAACTTGCATCCTAGACAGCAAATACTGGAATAAGTCAAATTCGAAGTTCCTCTAGCGAATCCTTTCCTTTCTGGAAGCACTCGTAGTTGAAAGCCGCAAAGTTCCTGACACTTCTATATAACCTCGGCCTCATGTGGTCGACTAAGTGATTGACCGGTCCGATCTCTTTCTCTGCCTCTGGCTCATCAAACACAGCGATTGACATTCTCAACTTGTTTGCATTCGTCAATACTCTGTGCAAGGGGCTCTTGAACATCCCATTTGTCATTACCTGCAGATTTCGTCACCAATCAAATTCACTAACGCACTAAAGACTGGGATACCTAGGAAAGCTTGTGCAACATGTGTATAGGCTAGGTCAATGCTTATTAATCCTTACAATTTCATCGTTCGACAAATTCCATGCCTATAACTAATAAAATGAATATATAGAGTGACCATCACTTCCACAGTGAGGAAAACACACATAGTCGCTCAAATGATAGATGTCCAACGCCAATGTTTGCATTTTCAGACCCAACTGATGCAACTTATTTGTTATTTTCCGTACATTGATGCAGAATGCATACCTGCATCAGACCACCCAGATTGACGACAAGAGCGTGGGGAATAACAGGAACCGTCTGCCACATGCCGTCTTTGAGGACTTGGAGGCCTTCCACTTCTTTGTCCTGCAAAAGGACTGTGATTGCTGATCTGTCTAAATGAGGTTTGGCGCCAAAAACTTCAGCCCTGGAACATGGTGGATAGAAGTTGAACCTTACTTCCAACCCCGGCTGGTCTCCAAACTGATCCAAGAAGCTGTTCTCTTCCAGCTCGAGTGACCTGGCCATCGCCTTAGAAAGATCATTCGTCACTGATCTTATTCTGAGAGCATACTCATGCAAGGTTTCACTGTCAATAAGAAAGACAAGAAAGAATGAACAAATTTAAATCAGGGTATATAACATCATTATGGAATAGAGCAGTCATGCAATATCATTCTATCGCTGATAAGACTTGCAAATCTCGCATGTTACTTGTCCAGACTTTTGGGTAGGTTGTTCTTCTGTGTATCTCTAGTTTAATGAAACAACATGTTCACCTCTTTTGAGACAATATTTTTGGATAGCACTGTTCTTATGAAATCGTGTTGAATTAGCAAGGAATTCATAGAGAAACACAAGCGTTTCATTTTCCATGAGTATTTACAACTGCAATTTTGGTACATGAAACAGAAAGTTGGCAATTGCGTTTGTACATACCAGAGATCAGCGGGATTTTCAGGCCAAAGATTCATCCTCCTTTGATTTTCAGGGAGTACTTTCAGAAACAAGCGATAGCAACAGTCTTTAACTTGGTTCTCGTTTACAACCAAGTCATCTCCATACCCTTCAGCCTCATTCGAAGCTCGTGAATATTTCTGTTTCTCTTCAACTGGCAATGCGAAGAACTGTTGAGCAATTTCGCGCACTTTGTCGAGATATTCAATTGATATTCCATGACCAACAGCCTAAAATTTTGAAAACTCTGATCAACTTGAAAGCTCTAGCATATCTTTATAGGGAAAAAAACAACTGCCAGTACCATCTATTGATGAAAACCTATCTCCACAATTAGTTTTCACAGAAAAAGGGAAACTATGGAAACCCAATAATGTGCAAAAGAAGGTGCAGGAAAATGAACTCAAGACACTTTGAGCATGCAAGGACCATGCAACAGTTTGTTTTAAATTTTTAGCAGTCAGACTTCAATGTGATTTATAAGTCATTGTACAGCAATACGAAGCAACCAACAAGATTTAGCCACCTAAAACAGAATAGGTTTTATTTCCCTCTGAACTGAACAATATAGAAGCTGAAAAAGGGGTAGCCATCAGTCAAAAGAACCAGGGCATCAGTCAAAGTCTATATTTGCGTAGCTTAAAAAAGAAAGGTACCTAAAAAGGAGAAAACTAATAAACATGTAAGGGAGATTAATTAAGGTTGAACCCTTATTGATTGTAGTTCATCTGCAGTGAGGTTGTTTCAATCATTTAACAGCGTAAATGAAGGAAATATTTCTCCAATATTGGAATGTATGGCAAATTTAAGGGTGTGAACTTCCACAGAAAAATCTGACCAAAAAACAGAAAAAGAACTTCCAAAGGAATTGCATCCATCATAGTTCATGACATCCACTATATCTATCATAATTTTTTAGGATGAATAAATACAAATAGGATGTAAATACTAAAGGCACCATATATGTTCTGCTTGACGTCATAAATGTAACTATAACGACAAACAAAAAGACTAGTCTGAAAAAGCATGGAAATATTTCAGAAACAGTGACCTGGAAGCAACCGCAAGAGCTGAGAACTGACTTCAGTTTCTGAAGTTCATCTTCTGAGGAGAGAAGGCTAATGTCGACCACTGGAAATGTCACAGACTCCCAATTTTTTGTTTCACAAGCCATGATAATTAATGCTGTGTGAGGAAGAGATGCAAGAGACCTTGTTTTGGAGGGTTGCTGATGATTAGGAGTTTCTGAAGGAAGATCCTATTTGTACTTGTTCTGCTCAGAGAAGTCAAACCGACAAAGTACCGTGTTTGGCTCTCATTGTTTCCCATGTGGAGGAGCAAAGAGGACCCACCAGAAATAACTTGCAACATTATCTTGGATTTGTTTCTTGGATTCATGGAAGTGAAGAAACTGGATATCTTAGCAGAACTGTTTGTTGAGGCTGTCATAGTCAATACAAACTACAAAAATTGAGTTCTTGAGTAAAAATGTACATGACCAATTTGCTTCTCAGGTTCGGGTTTGGAAGAGATGCAAGAGACCTTGTTTTGGTGGGATGCTAATGAGTAGGATTGTCTTAAGAAAGATCCTCTTTGTGCTTGTTTTGATGAGAGAAGTCAAACCAGAAAAGTACCATGTTTCACTCTCCCTGTTTCGCATGGGAGGAGAAAGAGGTCTCATCAGAACCAACTTGCAAGATTATCTTGGATTTGTTTCTTGGATTATTGCTTGTGAATAAACTGGATTTCTTAGCAGAACTGTTTGGTGAGGTTGTCATAGTCAACACAAGCTTTAATTAATTGAGTTCTTGTGGAAAAATATATATGACGAATTCGCTTCTCAGCTTCAGGTTCAGAGCACAGCCCCCACATTGACTGTGTCTCCATCAAATTATACAATAATTGATACTTTTAGTCCCTCTAGTTTGCTTCTCCAGATTATTTTAGTCAGCGTTGTCGGTGGAAGAGAGAGCAAAAAGATGATTTTATTGCGGGGACGCAATCATGGCCTTCCAGGTGAGAGGCTAATCTTGACTACAATGGATTGCTTCAGTTTGTCACCACGTAGGAAGCACGAATACTCTCTGAAGCCTCTGTGTCGTGTCAGACACCGACACTCATCCGACACTCTTTTTTTATTATTTATTTATTTGTGAATTTAAATCAAATTAATTTAATTAAAATAATCATAAAAATGATAATTTATCATATATACAACGTGTCGTGTTGTAATTCTTTATTTTTTGAGAAATGACGTGTCGGTGTATCATGTCGTGTCGTATCGTGTCGTGTCGCGTGTCGGTGTTAGTGTCGATGCTACTTAGGTCACCACAAGTTATTTCGAAGGCAATATCTAGATCTGTCAAAGCATTTAGCATGTCGATCTTAAACGTGGCTCGTCACAAAAGTCGTACAGGATTGTTGCCATTAATTTCTTCAATATTGAATTCTGCATCTTCTTTGGATATGCGAATAGGAATATTCAATTGCCTAGTAGTTCTCTGATAGAGTAGAACAAGGCTAGGATTCACAAAGCAATTGCGAAAAAGAACAAATTGCATTATTTCCATTCTTCAATAAATTGCAGTAGGAACCAAATTCGGGTTCCATCTCCTATACATTACAAGCTGGAATGACGTGATATGGCATGTGAGCAAATACAATAGAATGAGGACCAACTACTATTGAACTTGACGAATTCACGTAGTTAGCTTCCAGAGCAGGTATGTCACCAGATGGACTCACGCCTAATATATTTCCATTTAGCAGCACCGTCTGGCTGAGCAGATTTCCATCCTTGGGCGTTAAATGGTATTCTTCTCTCATATTTGCGTTGTTAAAACCTCTCGGAACCGAAATGCTGTTGTCAAAACCAACAACCGTGACCTCAAAAATGGAGCTGCCGTCCAGGTTTATCATCAGCAATGTGACCCCTTTCTGCAATATCAGGTATTTCGGATCAGATAGCAAGCGCAAACTCAAAGGATTCACCCAGTTTTTCAGCCAATTAAGATGCAGAACAAACTTACAGAGGCTTTTGCACAGTGAGCATAGACACGGAAATTGTTCGATCCAGAGAAGCTCGCTCCCAGGACATTTCTGCCCATGAGTCGGTGCCAAAGCAGCGCACTGCAGAGAAGAAATCAGAATCTGAAGGTCTTATTACAAGAACATGCTGCAAAGAGAGAGAGAGAGAGAGAGAATGCTGAGTAAGTATGCTCGTGTTTACAGTTGGTCTCTAAATGTACTGCCAAATTGCATCAATAAGTAGGTTTAAGGACTTTTTGAGGGAGGTGTAGCCAAAACAAATATATCGATCCGTTAGGTAGAAGTGCGAGAAAAGGATTTAACAACAAAGACCCATGAATAAACCGTGAGAGAAGAAGAGATGTCCTTATCCATCAGCTAGTGTCGAAACCAACCCGAAAGACATCAAGAGCTTGAAAATGTTGAATTAAGAAATTTAAAGATTGATGAAGGAATGCAATTGCAAATCACCTGTAGTAGTCAGGATTTGGATCATTGGAAGTTGCATTGAGCAAACCATAATTTCCACCTATCAGTGATTGTCTGCAGTACGTTTTTGTATCAAAAGTAGATGCAATGCCCATCTGATCCAGATACCTGTTTTCCTCACAAAAAAGCATCCGTGTATCACCTCTGTATCTGCAAAACAAGATCTAGACCATCTGTTTCATCAATGTGTCAGGAAAAGTACCAGAAGCTGTACACAAATGTATTTGAAACTCCATCACGGCCGCTCTTGAAAGCTCCTCCCGCTTCACTGACCCATGCTAAGGCCGAAGTAGCCGAAGCAGAACCCTTAATTGTGTTTTGCAGCTTTCTAAATGTTTTAGCTATGCCATCAAGATATGTTGGATTTAGAATCTTCTCAACGAGGTGCTGATCGGCCGCTACAAGCACAATAAATAGTCTCAGATCCAAGATGATTAAGTAGTCGAACAGTAAGTAAAGAAGGCACCTGATCCGAGATTGTAGATGTGAAGAGTAATTGCATCCAAGGATTTTGGGGTCTTGTCCAAGTATTCCTTGAACCAAACTGCATCATAGCTTCCTCCTGGTCCTAGGATGAGAGGCTTCGGTTCAATACTCTTGTAAATGTCCAACACCAAGTTCTTCAGATGAACTGTATCAGATGCGTACTGGCTCGCTGCCACTCTTGTATGAACTCCACTCCCACTCAATTCATTTCCTGAGCAGCAAGGGTCAAAATGTCCAAATGTGTTTTCATAAAATTATCACTCACGGTATAAGCCTCTCATCCACATAAAGTCGAGCTCGTTCATATATATAATTGGAAATAACACCAATAGCTCGCTTCAGTATTATATCATCGGAAATAAGCATAAATAGGATGTGACAAGTAAGTATATACAAATTTACTCTTAGTGGATTCAAATGTGCATAATATGAATGGCTGCAACATAATTGAAGGAGGAAGCGCTTGTGAAGTCACTATACATAGCTTTAGAAGCAGAATAAAGAATGTAATCTCTAATTACCAAATTCCCAACCAAGAATGGTGTAATTCTTGCTGACGGTATAATGTATCAATGATTCAGCATTCTTAGAGTCCCAAGCACCCACTGCAGGGCCATGCCGTCGCGGTATGGTACGCCCATTAAGTGCATTTAACCCAAAGATGACTTCGGCGCTGATGAAGATAAAATAGATCACCATAAGCATGAAGGCAGTATAATTCTTGTGATAACTTCGGACACTCATAAACTTATTATACCCAGTTTGCTTGAAAAATGCATTCAATTGATCCCATCTAGCCATGGACAGGCAGCCCTCAGTGAATCCAAACACTGATTTAGGGTCTTTAGCAAATTGAGGGCAGGGTTGTCTATCGTCAGTGGCATATAAGACATTGTCTTGTAAGGTACCGCCCAATCTGATCTTCAATGGTGAAAATGCTGCAGTTGAAAAAATATTTGCCATGTGCATTTAGTCCATGGTCTCGCAATCATATGTGCACATTGCCAACAACAACTAAGCAGAGTGATGCAGGATGTTATGCTGCAGTAACGTAAAAGCATAAATATTTTAAATGAAGCTCACCCTTTACCGCGTTGAACAATATCTTGTTGCTAAGATCCTGCATCACAGAGGAGAAAAACATAAAAAGAGATACATTATCGTTTACTAAGCCAGGTTTACCGAACAAAAAGAAAAATAATAATGTGTTGTATACTACCTGTACAACTCACTGAACAGAAGTCAGGATTTACTTAAAAACATATATAGTTTGAAAATCCACTACATAGAGCAACAACACGACACAATTTATCTGTATCAATAATTTCTTGATCAATATCTAAGTCCATAAAGTTGTGAAGCAGTGGTAGTCGATAAGATGATGAAGTCCTTCTGAAATTGACAAAACCAATTTCCCTGCATTTAGTGGACTGCTGTATATGTGCACTCACTCCCATATCCAGTTTGATTTTTGTCTAAATCAAACTCCCCTAGCATGGTGAAGCCAGATGGAAATACCAGATTCAGAAGAGAAGTGCGGTGCCAACTGCAGGTTCCAAAGTCACATTTCTCGGGGGGCCACCAGTCCAAAGTCGCGCAAACAAAGTCATCATCGATATTTGCAATGGCAGATTGACCAACAGAGACATTAAGCTGAATAGTAGCACCTCCAGGTACACTCTGTGAATCAGCATGCATGGAGTAGTAGCTGAAGATGCAAGCCAGAAGGCCGATACCCATCAACGAAACAAGAGAGCTCATCTTTTCAAATAATCTTAAATTCTGAGCCTGACTCGTTCTTCATCAATCGCTTTCATATCATCCCAAGATGTGCATGAGAGAGGAAGACGCAGATTATTTTACTGGAGAGAACAAGATGTGCTTTCGTTATTAAAAGAAAAAAGAGCATAGAAAGAAAGAATCATGGCACTTTATTGGAAAGTTGGTAAGTATTTGATAGTGCAGGCAATTTACTTATGACACCGACAAAATTTCAAACCGGTTGGTAACTCTATATTGATTAGATATACCAACTAAAGAACACCAAGCCATTACAAGAGATTCTGCTATCATATTGATAAGGAAATAGCTGCCTCGATATCCAATGTGGGTTTGAAAAATGTTGAAATGAAAATAGGGAAAGAGAATAAATGGTATGCTCCTCTATATCAAAACGACAGCCCATTTTGATGATGTTATCTATCTGAGCATTTTGGGTATGTTATCCTCCTTCTCATCATTCTGATACAGTTTCACAAGCAGTGTGGAGAAAACGACGTGAGGAAATCATAACCAGTATCACTGGCGAGTCGCAGAAATGATGAACGAATTACAATAGACCGTCACATCACACGGACTATGGAAACGGCCATCTCTGAAATCACTAGTCTAAAAAATTGGCATACTAGTCTATGTCAAAACGACAGCCCATTTTGGTGTTGTTATCCATTTAAGCGTTTTGGGTACGTTATCTAGGAAAATTACCAAAAAAGTGCGAAACCTTTTTGTATATATATCGATTCGGTCCTAAATCTTTTTAATTTGGCCAATTTAATTTTGAGCATTTTGACAATTTGCTAATTTAATTATTCCCTCCAATTTTGGCCAGAAATCTATAACGTGAACGCCGGTCATCCTGTATGGCGTAGTTGGCACTAATGTGGGACAATTTTTGTAATATTTAAAAAACACTCTTTTCTCTTTCCTTTTTCTTTTCTTTTTTTTGTCCTTTCTTTCTTTTCCTTCTTCCTCACTGGTCAAGGCCTGAACGATGGTTGGAGACCGGCCACAAGTGAGGGCCAACCTCAATGGCCTTGAGCGAAGCTCAACCTCGCCAAAGGCCCACCCTCGCTAGTCTGGCAAGGGCAACCTCTCTCTAGGCCGGGCGAGCCTAGCGAGAACACCTTGCTTGATCTGGCGAGGATGAGCTTGCTCGATGCCAAGCGGGCCTGGCGAGGTCACCTCGCCGGCCATCCAAAGCCCGATGATCGGTAGAGGAAGATGGAAAAGAAAAGAAGAAAGCAAAGAAAAAATAAATTTAAAAACGTTTAAAAAGATTACAAAAATTGTTTACATCAGTGCCTACTGGTCATCTATGTTAATGATTTTCGGCCAAAATTTGATGACTAAGGGCGCGTTTGGCAACCGGTCAAACAGTAACTATTTATATTCTTTTATTCCCAAAATCAGTTTTGGAACAGAAATCCTTTTGATAAATTTTTTGTTCCCAAGCACAAATTTGTAAAAATTTGTTCCAAGAATTAGTTTTAGAACAGAATCAAGAAGCAAAAAAAAGTTGTTTCTTGATTTTGGGAACAAGAATCATAAATGGAAAAGAATTTTTATTTTCTTCTTCTTGGCCTGTGGCCGGTTGCCGGCCGCTGGCCACCGACAACCGGCCACAAGCCAGGGCCCGCGAGGGTGTCGTCGCCCTCGTCACCACCCTCGCTGGATCTGGCGAGGGCGGCCCTTGCCTAGGCCGCAAGCCACCCTCGCCAGATCTAGCGAGGGCAGCGGCGAGGGTCCAACCCTCCCCAGATCTGGCTAGGGCCACGACGCCCTCGCCAGTCCTAGTATGTGGTCACGACGCCCTCGCCGGTCCTGACCTGTGGCTAGTCGCCAACGCCGGCAACCTAGCCATGGCCAAGGAAGGGGAAGGGAAAAAACAAAAAAAAAAAATTAAAACAATCAAAATATTATTAATAAAAAGAAATTTTGTGTAATTACCAAACGCATTTCTGTTCTTTTTCTATTCCAAGAATATAAATTTTGGGTAGTTACCAAATGCCTTCAAATGCTTATAAATTGTTCTCGGGCACAGAATAAAAAAGAATCATTTCGAAACATAATCAATTTTCGGGAACAAAATGGTTGCCAAACGCATCCTAAATTGGCCAAATTAAAAGAAATAGGACAAAATTGGTATCTGCACAATAGATTTGAAACTTTTTTAGTAATTTTCCCTTCATTATCCTCCCCATCGTTATATATATACTTAGGTCTAGGCTGGCGCTAAGTGAAATATTAACACAAAAGGAAGGTCTTTAACTGTCTTGTTGATGTAGTTTCACTAGCAGTGTGGGGAAAATGACATGAGGAGATCTTAACTCGCTTCACTGAAGAATCGACACATGACAAATTACACAGGACAGTCAAATGGTTCTGTGTAATGAAAACATTGCGTTAAGCTAAGTCTCTGACATGACCAACACCAAACGTGAGGTGTCTCTAAGTTGTGCAAACTAATTGCGGATCGTTATTTCAACACCCGTTTGGCTTAAATTAGTCACATGACATGATGTTTTTGGGATTATTTGATTTTCCGTTCATGAATACTCTCAAACTCCCACCCACTCATCGGTGGCCGCGTTGGTTTGCGCTCAGTTCCTTTCACGAGAGGTCCTGGGTTCAAACTCGCCCATCGGTGATTTAAGTGGGGGGTCGTGGCGGTGGGATGCTGCGCTAGCCCCCCTCGAGGACTAGTCGGGCATCACCGCTGGTTTGAGCCCCAGCTCGCCGGCCGCGCGAACACCTCGGTTATCAAAAAAAAAAAAATACTCTCAAACTCCCTCCCTACAAGAAGTCTTTTCCAGGAGAACACTACGCATTCCAAATAGAGTTCTAAACTTTATCAATAGCAGACGTTCATGAAATGGATATCTGATCTTCCTTAGCTCGGGATTCTTCCAATCCGTGGAATTTCTTGCAAAGATAAGATGGATCATTTACGTGGGCACATTGTCTATAGGATTGATCATGAGATGGTAAAAAATGCGATTTCATCTTTTGCACCAAACGAGTTACTCTATAGCGAGTTAAAGATCGTCTTTTGATTTATCCCGTGTGGCAATTACACTGCTCTTCAAGTATGTCTATTGACTTCCATACTGCTTGGGCGCTTTCTTTTTTCGACTTTCATAGATATCATTGGGGAAAGGCAATTATCCTTGTTATACTCCTATGATATAAGTCAGCGTTTTTTTCTTTTGATGACCGTATAGCAAACCCGTGTCGTCCTCTATTGCTTCTTCTCAGTCGAACCCGAAGACAGCTTTGAGCCATCTCTCGGTTGATGCACTGGAAGGTTCACTTTCCTTTGTGTTGTCTTGGACAACTCATGGAGTAGGACTAACAAGATGATGAGACAGACCAATTGAAGAACCTCAAACCATTAAAAGAGGATCTGATATCACCTTAATAAGTCAACCACCTCACATATCAAAACTGGGTTTGGAATATTTGAGGTGAAAATAGGGAAAGAGCACAAACGACACACTCTTTACACCGAGATTACAGCCTATTTTGCATTTGACCATGTGATCCATTACGGTACTTCTCATCATCCATGCTTTGGTCTAAGTTTGCCATCACTGAGCTTTTACTTTCCCCTCTACTCATCTAAAAATCAGTTTACAAGCATTGTTAGGAGAAAAAGACTACATTCTGATGTGGGCACGGGCAGTTAAGAAATCACTGGCTCTCTGTGTCCCAAGAGAGGGAAAATATTATGTCAAATATCTCACTAACCTCATCAGCTGTCATATTTTTGTTGCGCAACCTTATTTCGACTCGGAGATGCAATGCTCCTGTGGACAACTACGAGGTATATGGACACCTAACAGTGTAGAAATGGATCACACTGATATCGAACTTCAATCTGCCTAAATGGATACTGATAGGGAAGTCAGATTACTCTGTTTGGCATGGCATACTACATGAGTTGTCTGACAACTTGGGCATTGCTAGACATCTCGTGTAGGTTTGATTGTGTCAATCCCTCTTCAACTAGAATAAGCCCGGAACGATTTACAGGGTGATTAAATACATTGGTATTATTTTCCTGCTTAACCAATGGTAGGAATATAACCACCAAATTGTGCCTTCTTCCTCTCAACTACAATCAGGTATGGCGTAATATGGCATATGAGCAAATACAATTGAATGAGGGGCAACCACTATTGAGCTTGATGAATTCACATATTTAGGCTTGAAAGCAGGTATTTCGCCTGATGAACTCACAGCTAAAATATTTCCATTGAGCAGCATTGTTTGGCTAACCAGATCCCCATCCTTGGGTGTCAAATGGTATTCTTCTCTCACGTTTTCATCAGTGAAATCTTGTGGAAACTGAATGACCTTTTTTCCAAAGGTGTAGTGTCTACGACTGCGCATCCGTGTTCCGTTATTAACAATTGTGACCTCAGCAGTGGAGTTGCCATCAAGATTTATGAAAATCAACATGACCCCTTTCTGCAATTTAAATTCCAAGAATCAGATTATTTCTTTTTTCCTTAAACAAATGCAACAAGAACTAGAAGGAGATACCCGTCAATATAGCCAGTCAAAACACAGAACAAACTTACAGAGGCTTTTGCACAATGAGCATAAGTGCGGATCTTGTCCGATCCAGATAAGCTTGCTCCCAGAACATTTCTCCCCATGAGGCGGTGCCAAAGCAGAGCACTGCAGTGCAAAGCAGACTATTGACAAGTTGCACTAGAATGCAGTTTTCAAGACTTTTGCTAACTCCGAGCCAAAACACACAAATCATGTCCCCAGAAGTACAGTGAGGAAAGAATTCAGCAGTAGCATTGCCATAGGATGCCATAGTCTTAGCTTATGTCTCAGTACTCCCACTACACACATAACGCAAGATTAAAATAATAACTCCACTGATAGAACCCAATACATGTAGCTGAAGAAATAATTTCCACCCATAACGCTTAAAGAAGTGATGGAGAATTGAACGTGACACACTCTTGGCTCTGATAAAACTATCATACTTACCAAAAGCATAACCATTTATTCCAAAAGCTAAGCACTTAGAGAATGGCAGTCTATATTATTATTCTAACAACATGCCTACACAGTTCAACATCCTTCTACTGGCAACAACCCCCCAAAAAAAAAATCAACAATTTTCTGCTTCTTTACAGTATAGGATGAGATTATTTTCTCTAAATGACACCGTGGCTGTTAGGCCCATCATACCCCATGAACTGTGAAATAAGAGGCACCATCCCTTTCTCTCGCAATGCTTTATCATTAACGATTATACATGGAGCAAATGACCCAAAAATGAAAAGAGCGTGAACATGCCAAGCATGGGAATTTAGAAAATGATACAGGACTTTCACTATAAAATCACCTGTAGTAGTCAGGATTTGGAATGAAAGAAGTTGCATCGAGCAAACCATAATTTCCACCAATAAATGCTTGTCTGCAGTATGTTTTTGTATCAAAAGTAGATGCCATTCCCATCTGATCCAGATACCTATTGCCACATAAAGAGTGTCTCTGTCATATTGTCAACAAAATAGATGGAAGTTGTGTTTTCTTCAATCGGATAAAGTACCAGAAGCTATATAAAAAAGTATTTGAAACATGATCCCGGCCACTGTTGTAAGCTCCTCCTGCTTCACCAACCCACGCAACAGCCGAAGTAGCAGAAGCAGAACTTTTGATTATGCTTTGCAGATTTCTGAATGTTGCAAGTTCACCGTCAAGTACAGTTGGATTGAGAATCTTTTCAACAAGGTGCTGATCAGCTCCTACAAGCAATAAAAATATAGTTGTCTGAATGAAGGATGATTAACTAGTTAATTTGTTTCTCTAAGGGATTCAAAGTTGCCTAAAAAGGATACCTGATCCCAGATTGTAGATGTGATGAGTAATTACATCCAAGGATTTTGGCGTTTTGTCCAGGAATTCCTTGTACCAGACACTGTCAACAAATCCTCCTGGCGCTAGGATTAGAGGCTTTGGTTCTACGTCCTTGTAAATGTCTAGTACCAAGTTCTTCAGAGAGATTGTGTCAGACGCGTACTGGCTCGCTGTTACTCTTGTACCGACTCCCCTCCCACTCAGTTCATTCCCTGATCACGAAGGGCGGAAATGTTAATGTTTGCATGCCACATCATCACGGATGGTGAAAAGCTTTTACATCTACTTACTTTCACGGAATTCACTCATGAAGCCACTATCAAGATAGAATTGTCTTTAAAAGTGTAGCTTGCTTCAATGTCGCTCGTGGCAAAAGTATAGAATATTACAAATACAGCAAGAAAATTGGAATTTAAGCTTAATAAAACCGTAATCCCAGGTATGTGCATCAAAGAAATGATCGGAACAAATGAATGTTGGGATGAAAGAATCAACAGTTGTGGCTCTGGACGCAGAATCAAGGATGTGCTTACCGAGTTCCCAACCAAAAATCGTGTAGTTTTTGCTGACAGTATAGCGTATAAAAGATTCAGCATTTGTTGAGTCCCAAGCGCCCACTGCAGGGCCTTGAGGCGGTATTGTTCGTCCATTAAGAGCATCTAATCCAAAAATAATCTTCGCGCTGTAAGGATAGAATAACGTCACTAATTATAAGGAAATTTTTATAGTTCTTTTTTTTCGAAAAAATTTCAAGATAAAATATCTCTTACCCAGATTCCTCGAAAAAAGCATTCAGCTGATCCCACCTAGCCATGGGTAGGCATCCCTGAGTGAATCCAAACATAGTTGAATTGTCCTTTACAAATGAAGTACAGGGTTGTTTAGTATCCGGAGTGCTGTATAAGACCTTGTCTTGTAGAGTACCACCCAATCTGATCTTTAATGGTGAAAATGCTGCAGCAATTCAAATTCACACTATCAATAATAATTAACAAGAAGTCGAGAGTGATTATGCTCTATTACTTTGAAAGCACAAATGCCTGGAATCGATGTGTTACCCTTCACTGCATTAAGTAATATCTTATTGCTAAGGTCCTGCACCATTAACGAAGCAGAGCATCAGACGGCGATTCAGAGCTCAGTTTACTTAACAAGAAGCAAAAGAATGGCTCTCCTACGACGTGCCTGTACATATCTCATTCGACAGGAGCCTAATTCAATTCAACTTATATACAACAAACATCAAGCTTTGCTAACTCAGCACCAATTCATGGGCACACAACAAAGAAGCACATGAACAAACTTATACATATCAAACAGGTGATAAAGGAAACATTTTCTCATTTTATTGTACCGTTTGAAGGCATAAAGCTTCCATTTTTAAATTTCATAGAATAAGGACTGCAGAAGCAATTCAACTGAGGCACTCGTTTTTACCAGATTGAGCAGAGAAGCACGGTGCCAGCTACAGACTCCATAGTCACACTTCTCGGGAGGCCACCAATCCAAAGTCGCGCACACGAAATCCTCGTCGATCTCCGCAATGGCACGTTCCCCAACGGAGACGTTCACCTGAACAGTACCCTCCCCAGGCGAGCTCTGCGAATCAGCACTAACCACGCCGTAGCCGAACATGCAAACCCAGAAACAGAGACCCATCAACGAAACAGGACGACCACCCATCTTCTACCGCCTCGAGGTGTCGGAGCCTTCCTCTCTCCAGCGGCGGAGACTTCACTCACCACCCAAAAGGACCGAATATATGAAGAAGCAAATGCCCTTCTTCCCTCAGCTGGAGAAGGTGATGGATTGGATCCATTAGGCGGGCGTTAACAGCTGCGTTGTCGGGAACGAGAGCGCCGAGAGAGAGAAAAGAGAGAGGGAAAGAGTAATGAAGGTTTTGTCTTGGAGTTGGAGCTTTACCGGGTTGGAATAATGTGGACGTTTGTTCGGGGGTGGGCCATTGCTTTCTTCAGAAGGAAGAGGAGAGAGAGAGAGAGAGACAGAGCGCATCGGTAGAGAGAGAAACTTGCGGGGTTTATCCGGAAGAAGAAGGAGAAGACGCCGACGCCGACGACGCCGACGCCGCCACCGACGGCTGTTGAGGGCGTGACAGGTGGGGCCCGGTCGGTGCAGCATGCAGGGCTTAAGGATTCGGTTCGGGGGCGATGGGGTGGGCGGGTTGAACCGGAACCACCGAACGTGATTTCCTTCTACTTTTTGCACGAGTGGTACTGTCGGTGTCTCTGTCTTTTTCTGTACTTCAATGTAATGAAAATGACACGAATGGACCTCAACTCGGCCAAATGTCCACTATGATATTTGAATTTTTAATTTATTCGATATGATTTATGAACTTTAATTTACTATATAATGTGGCCCCTAAGATTTTAATTTATTCGATGGGTTCCCGAGATTTTTGGTACATGTTCAATTTAGCCCATGAATTATATGAAAATATTTAATATTGTCATAAATAAATTAAAAGTTTAAAAACTATATTGCATATTGAGCTAAAGTTAGGCATCATTCGTGTTATTATCCCGAAAAAGAATTAGCAAGTGACGTCAGGAATACACCAAAAGAAAAAGAAAAGGTTGAGAAGGGAAATTTTTAATTGACGCATGATAGAGAATTATTCACAGAACGGTTCGATGTCTTCTAATCTCTTTAGCGAGCATTTTCATCGTAAGAAATGTTGCAGATGTTGTCCACCAACCAATTTATAAGCATATTCTTCTCACTGAAACTTAAAAAATCGATGTATACAAGGAGAATTTTGAGTGCATAAATTCCCTTCGAGTGATCAAAAAGAGGTCGTGACATGGACAAACAACGAGTTACGCACCTTTAAAATTAAGTGGCCCTAGTGGCCACCGTTCTTTTCGTATCACAAGCGCTCGACCGGCACACTTGTTTATATGAAATTCGTACACTTTTTGCTGATGAGCCCGTCGACAGGTCGGGTGACCAGCCTCCTTGTGGCCGATGCAGTTGTGTTGATGACATCGGCAATGGCAAACACAAGTCGTTGATGCAGTGGTGCGACGAGGCACGGGAGGGCCGATGCGGCGGCCAAATGCGGCAAGGTTTCAAAGATCTAGCTCGTTTGAGAGCAAAGAGTCGAAAGGTGGTATTGTCTTTTCCCAAAGATGCAACGAAAAATCTCAAACCAGCATTTAAGCGTGACGGGGTCGGTTAGAGAGCGAAACCGGCGCAACTAAAGATGTTGCAACCACTGTAGTGAGCGACTCAACGGGCGTTTCCTCATAATCATCCGATATCAAGATAAGAATACGAGGAAGAGAATTATAGAATTTCCTTGTGTACCATTGTGAAGGGTACGTGAGGTTTCTATAAGATTTATAAGATAGCTATTTAAGATAAAGATTTTACAATACTAATCACAATCAACGACGATTAATTCGAGATATGGACAATTAATGACTATACATGCATAATGGAGAATCTCCCGATTATCCATACCACTTTATATATGAATCCATATACTGATTGTTACGTTATTCTTTATCACCACCTCAACGCCATCCATGTCATACTTTGGCTCTAGCTTGCAATTACATATTAAAATAAAAGAGAAAGAAAACAAAGAGCAAGATGAAAAAGGTGGCAAACACATTCCATTTTTTTTTTCTCTCAAAAGCATCTATCCTATCATTTGACAACGTTATCAATACAAATTCCCCATAAGCAGCGACAGAAGATGGGAGACGATCAGCCCATGAATCAAACCTAACGTTTTGCACATCTCATTTGTGTAATACTGCCAAGATATTCTTGATTAGACAGGAACATAATCTCATTCTTTCCAAAGGGTTGAGGTGTGAATTTCTACTCCCCAGGGATTGTCGCTAACCTAACCTAACCTAACCTTTCCAATCTCGTCATATAACATATGGTCCCCGTATAATTGCTTCACTCGCTACACCACCTCCATATCTATGTCTACTCGATTTCTAATTTCGACTAGAGATATTACGTCTAATACCACGACTTCATTCGACGTATGACTATAACATAGAAATCATACTATGTTATGACATTAAATTTGAGTACGAATTCTGCCAAATTTACTCAGAGCGCATCATCGTGATTGAATCAATGGAGGGATACCCTAGAATGGGAATGATGTCCACGATAACCTTATAAGCTTTACAAAACACTTTAAAGTGTTAAGTGTTAGCACATGCACTTTTAATATCGAATCGTCATTATGTCCACATGACTTTATAAATGTAACCTTTCGTCGAATTGTATTGGTCACATAATCTAACTTAGATTGATGATACGACAAGCAAAAAAGAATGTAGCGAGTCACACATGACGTGACACATAGCATGAGATAGAGGCTCGATTCAATGAACTTTGTAGCCTTTGCGACCAATAATGTGCCTTAATTTGGACCGGGATTTTTGTATTTATAACAGCGTGATCAAGTCTTGATCAAAACACAATATATAGCAAAGTTTGGGTCGAACTTAAATCGAATTAGCGTGTCATGAGGAAACTTTGAGTTCATTCCTAAAAGTATAGATGACCAAAGTTGAACCAACTTTTACTTGGTATGTTATAACTTCTCCATGAAAATTTTTCTATGACAGTCTATCATAAGATACTTTACAAAATTTGCCATAAAACAATTTATCGTAGTTATAACTTGAGTTATTCCAATTTAAAAATGAAAAAAAAAAAGAGAGAGACTAGTAGCTTGTAATTTCTTTTGATATTGTGTTGAATCAGTTATAAGTGAGGTTATATTATTCTAACCATTGACGTTGACATAATATAAAATCGGATTGAAGGGCATATGATTAGGGTTTGTGATGTTGGTCGAACTTCATTTGATTCGGTTGAGGTTTGAAAATCATTGTCATGCAGTTCTTACCTACTCCTGCCTCTGTCTGTTTTGCCCGCCAAGCTTCCTAATGTCTTTGACCAAATGGGTATCTTCGATTTCTCACTTTGTCCTCTCTCTTCGTTTTTCCTTTGTTTGATCAGCTGTCATTTGCTCCCATTTGGACTTTTAATTTGCGTCCAAAGACATGGAAAGAAAAATGTTATCTCATTGCACATTAGGGATATTTGTATATTAGAGAGAAATATTCATTGGCCGTTCAATTCGATTCATGTCTGTTTATCATTGGACCTGTGCGTCCGAAATTATTTGGGCGCTCGGTGGAAGCTTGATGCCTTATTGGGGAGAGATCATGAAAAGGAAGAAGGTGGAGGAGAGGCGTCACGGGAGTATTTATTAGTCTTGAAACAAGCTCTTCCAAATGTCTTAAACTTTGTGGAAGGTGGTGGAAGATGTGTCACGCGTCCAGAGGGCCACATGTCGACTTCTCAATGGCCTTCTACTATGTGCAAACTTCTCGATGTCACTATGCGGAAGCTGAAAACAAAATCTTCCATTGTATGACATAATAAATCCCAATATCATATGATTAAGGTAAATCGAATCGAATTTATTGGAGATAGTTCTAATAAATTGAATCTGTAGATTAGAATTAGGCGTGTAAGTTTAATTGGATCTACTTTTCTAGAAAAAAATTGAGAGAACCAAAAAAATGTAAATGTAGAATGTTATTATATTTTTGTAAAGGTAGAAATTTTCCATTGGAAGTGAAAAGAAACAAAAAAAAAACGAGCAATGTGAGTGATAAAAGAAAAATAACTAAAAAAACAAAATGGGATATGTGTCAAATTAGGAAAGACATTTTGGTGATTTTCAGCTTTATCTAAGTATAAAATTCAGGAAATTCTGTTTATGTTTTTCCTCCCGTTCTTAATATGTAAATCAGAAGGTAGTTTGGAAAAACACAAGAGAAAGAAAGTCAATAAAGGAAAATGATAAAGTGAGGACATAATGAACTTTCATATGCTTTTGTTTATTTCTGGATGTCCTTACATTAATCGTCTCTCTACATTGTAAAGCAAACCCAAAGTTCGGTGTAACCTCAGATATTTGGCTCAAGAAGAAAACTATCGCCATCAATGTTGAGCGTTATGGGTTGGTTGAGATTTTAAATACTGAAGCTCTCTTTTCCATAGCTTCATACTTTTCTCTTGGCACAGTTGTTTCTAGCTAGCCTTAGAAAGCTGGATGTGTTTGCTTTTTTAGCCCTCCTGTAACTCCTCAGTTGCAGCAAGATGTCAGTCAAAGCTCTCTAGATCTCCAAGGCACGAAACCCTGAAAAGTACTTAGGCCCACCCACTCTTTCTTTGGGGTGGGTGGAAAACTGAAGCACTAAAAGACTCTGCAAGGGAAAAGGTGTGGAAAAAGATGCAAGGGTGGAAGAACATCTTTCTTTCTCTTGCAGGTAGATGAAGTTCGATGAAAACAGTACCCTATGCAGTGCTTGCATTTTCCATGGCGTGTTTTAAGTTTCCCAAGAGGTAGCGTGAGGAGACAAATGATGTTGCTAAATAATGGTAGGGTCAACAAAAGGAGGAAAGGGAAAATTCATTAAAAAGCTGAGATAATTTGGGTGACGCTAAGACCCCGTTTGGTTTAGCTTTTGGAATGCTCATTTGGGCTCTAAAGTCCCTTGGCAAAATGCAAATGGTATTTGGCAATTTTTTTTACTCACTTTGGAGAGATGCAATTGCATTTGGAATGCTCCCCAAGGGACCTTTGGCCAATGTTCCACCAGAGGTGCTTTGGGAAGTTGCATTTTCGGAATGCAACTTGCACCGTTCATGAACACTGTTCATCTTCTCCAGACCGAGGTCCGGCGACCTCCGCCTGAGGGCTAGCCCGACCCCGGCGACCATCGCCTGGGGGTCACGCGACCCCGGCGACCGCCGCCTAGGGTCGCAAGACCCCCAGGCGACGGTCGCCAGGGTCGCGCGACCCCAGGCAGTGGTGGCCGGCGACCAGATCTGGCTGTCGGTGGTTGGCCGGCGACTAGATCTGGCTGTCGGCGGTTGGCCGGCGACCAGATCTGGCCGGCGGTGGTGGCTGCCGGTTTAGCTCCACCGGAGCTTTTTTTTTTTTAAAT